CTCTGAGCATTCCCTGGAATTTTCCCTTCTCCAGGGGAACATTCCCAGCTGATCCCTGGGAACAGAAATCCTAGAACTTCAGAGCACGACACAAAAGCTCAGCGATGCCTTCCCTGCCTTCCCTTCAACTTCCTGCCTCCATTTTCCCAGGCTTCCCAATAGAGATGGAAAAATGAGAATTTCTGGATTTTAAACTCTCTCTGCAGTGCCTGTGCAAGAGACAGATCCAGAACAAGAATTCCTGCACAGAGAAAAAGGACAAGAAAACCCCACCTGCAACAGCCCCAGATCCTGGGATTATTCCAGCTGGAAAAGACTTTTGGGATCATCCAGTCCAAGCTGTGCCCGATCCCCACCCTGGCACTGAGTGCCACATCCAGGAATTCCTTGGACACCTCCAGGGATGGGGATTCCAAACCCCCCTGGGCAATTCCAAACCCCCCCTTTCCATGAGGAAATTCCTGCTGGTGTCCAACCTGAGCCTCCCCTGGGCCAGCCTGAGGCCGTTCCCTCTTCTCCTGTTATTCCCTGGGATCAGATCCCAAATCCGCCTCCCTGTCAGGGAGTTGTGAAAAGCCACAAAATCCTTCTGGATCCTCCATTTCCCCAAAAACTTCAGGAGAAGGCAGAAGAGGATTCCTCCCATTACACAGAAAGTTCATCCAAAAGGAGAATTTCCTGATTTATCCCTATAAACAGCATGGAATGTTCTGGCTCTGTGCTAACTCCAGAGCAGATTAAGCTGGAACCAAAGCCAGGCTTAGGAAGCTGCTGTGCCTTTCCAGAAGTGACCACATCCAACCCCAAGACCTGGATTCTCCTCTGGAAATTCCCTGCTCTTCCTTTGCCTGATGGCAAAAATCTTGGAATGTTTGGGAAGGAATTGGGATTTGGGTTCTGAGGGTGCCATGCTCCTTCCCTCTGGAGAATTCCTCGTGCACAGCAGCCCAGATGTTGTCTCATCAAGGTCAGGATTTGGGCAAGGCATTCCCAGCCCTTTTCCTGGGAATTCTTTCCCATGATTTTGGATGGCCCTGGGCAGTTCACCACCCTCTGCCTCTCTGGGATTGTCACCACCAGAGTGACACCTTCCAGCACGAGCTCCTGGATTTTCCGTGGTGTCCATCCATATTATCCCAATATCCTGGGATCCTCCAGCTCCTCCAAATCCAGCACAGCACAAGAGATCCAGGTGTTCTGGCATTCCAGGTGTTCTGGCATTCCAGCAGGATCACCTGTCTGATTCAGGTCAAAATTCCCAAGATTTTCGAGGTGAAATTTGCTCCAGGTAAAATCTTCCTCTGGGTCAGCTCCAGATCCAGTGGGATCAGTGGATTTGGAATTCCAAGAGCCAGGATCACTGGCAATGTTCCAGTCCCACCAGGAGCTGGCCCTGGAGGATGAGGAGGAAGAGGAAGGCAGAATGGGAACGGTCCTGGAGAATCTGGATAATGGGAAAAGGACAAATCCCAGCCTGGAAAATTTGGATTTCCCAGGAGAAAAGACAACAGCAAAGGTTGAGCTGGAATTGTAAAGCCTGAAGGAAGCAGATCCCAAAAAAAGGAGCAGGATGGGAAAGGAAGGACTTGAATTAAAAAAATTCCTGGGATGAGATAAAACCAAGAGGAAAAAAGGGGAGGCAAAAGTGAAGTTATTGCTCCCATTCTGTGCAATCCCAAAAGCCAAACTCGCCTTTTTCCCACTCCTCCATCCCAAATTTCCTATGGAAAAGGAGATGCAGGTATGGGATATCCCTTCAGCCATTCCAGGGAAAGCCAAACTCAGCTCCTAAATCCCAAACAAAACTCCCAGGAAAAGTTAACTCCATCCCTACCCCAGCAGAACATCAACACCAGCTGTGCAAGCCAAAATTCCCAAAATTCTGCCCCATCCCAGCAGGAAATTTCTATCCAGATACACCAAAAAAAAAAAAAAAAAATCAGGACAAGCTTTTCAGCCAGGAATTCCTCAAACAGGACCAAAATCGAACATTTTAACATTTTAACAGCTGGAATCTTCCTCAAATTCCACTTTCAGAGCAGCACAAAGTTGGATAAATCCATTTCAACACCAGCAACAGGTCCCTGATACCATCACTGACATTCCCGCCTAAAATTCCCCCCAAAAAAGCCCCAAATTCCACACAGAATATTTAACTGATGGCAAGGAAGGAGG